AGGGATATATCCTTGGGTCTGAGTGCATATTTCTATCAGCTGGTACATTCAGTAGGAAAAAGAAAAAAAACCACGTGGCCGTCTTACCTGCACTGCTGGCAGTGTACACAGCACTAAGTAATGGGGAGGATGAAGAAGTGCCCTCCTTGAAGTACTTTCAACAGGGGCTCAGCCAGTAGACAGACAAGGGAAGACCAAGACCATAGTAGTAAGAAGGCCAAGTGTTTGCACTGTTTGAAGGACTACTGTGTGCTTTGCAGGATAGCTGGAGTCTTCAAGGGCCAGTGAAGTCCATAGCTACCTGCCAAATGAGTACTTAGCAGCGCTGGTTCATTATGCAGAGATTCAACAAATACCTACTGTGTTCACTGCATGGCTGCATCTGCCAACTGTCTAACACAGTTCCCAACAAAAATGAGCAAAGCTTAAGACCCTGAGTATCTTACTGTAGGGCTGGCTACCGGGCTGGCTACCAGACTCTTCTCCAAAGCCCTGCTTTTTACCCTTGAAGTTTTATTTGTTCTCAAATAATTTAGTCTCAATACACATGGCCTCCATCCTCTCTTCAAAAAGGAACAAGTAATAACTGACCCTATGGAAAAAGGCTGAAATATTCTGGGCAAGGGGGACAGTGATGGTGGCACTCCCTGAGAGTGGGATTACAATTCAGGCTGCTCTGTTCTTTGTCTCCTACTGCACAGGGCCCTGGATTTTGTGTGCAGGACCTGGGTTGAGAGCTAGGGTGGGGTTGGGAATATGAGTGTCTGCTCTGGGCTGATAGAAGGGGCTCCAGGCTGGGCTCTGTGTCGGCTGCCAGACCCTTGCCCAGGGAAGCTAACTAGTAGCCAAGATACCTTAGGAAAATGAGCATCGTGACGAACAGTTATTTGTTCGTCTGGCGCCTTTCTTCGGAGCATAAAGCATTGAACTCATGCCTCCTAACATCCTCCTGAAGAAAGGAAGTGGCAGATAGTGTTAAATGTTACTGGTTAATCATGGGGAAGCTGAAACACGGATAGGTTTATGGGGCTCGAGCAGAGTCACACAATGCCGCAGTGTCTGGCCTGGGAATGAAGCCCGGGTTTGCCGCTCGCTGTCAGGACTGCCGACAGCATTGTGTCTCGCATTGTACAGGCATGAAAGGGGCTTACTCTTAACAATGCAAGGGCTGCTGTAGGAGACAAACACAGTGACCTTTGGTACAGTATAGTCTAGAGGCCAAAGTGAGTAATTTTAAGTAAATTGACTATAAGATCCAAAGCTTCATTAGACTTTAAAACAAGAAACAATTGAAAACTCTGTACAGTTTTAGGAGCTGACTTAAAAAGCGCGAACATTCCTCCCAGCTTTGAAATGGCACAGACTTAAAAGTTCTATGTTGTTGGCTCAAATTATAACACTTTCTCTGTTAGCCATGGCATTTGTTTTCAATACATATGTATTTCTAGGTTTGTGGGATAGGTTTTAAATACTTTTTTTTTTTTTTTTGTAAGAACTACCCAGTCCAACATTTTTTTTCTACAGTGTTGTATTTTCCTAGTCTGAGCATGGAAGAGGGATGAGACTTTTTCTTTCATTCGGATTTAGTTTGGGTTCCATCAGAGCAGTTGGGACTGTTGAGCTGGGGGTTCCGGACAGCGGTGGGGTGTGCCCAAGGCATTGTCATTCTGGGTGACATTGCAGGCTGTGTGAGTCAGCCATGGGATGGAGCTGACACTCCGGGAAACACTCCGGGGAAGAATAGAAGAGGAAAGAGAGCAGAATATTTTTGCTCAGTTGTCTTCTGTCAGAGTGTTTGAGGCTTCCCGACATGGATCAAAAGATGATGCAGATTTTGGTGGGGCTGGCTATAAAGTTGCTGTGTTCTGCATTTTAAAGAGAACATGGAAATGACATTGCATAATTTAGGGCAAAATCTGTCATATCTATCTATCATCTATCTATGTATCCATCCATTCATCCATCCGTCCACCCACCCACCCACCCACCTACCTACCTACCTACCTACCTACCTACCTACCTACCTATATCTAGATGTGTGCATGCCACAGCATCTTTGTAGAGGTCAGAAGATAGATAACTTGTGGGAGTCAGCTCTCCCCTTCTACCACATGTGAGTGAACTGAGGTCCTTCAGCTTGGTGGCAAGCACCTTTACTCATTGAACCTTCCTGCCAGCCTTACACACTTCATGTTGTATTTAAGATTTATGGTAATTCAGTTCACATAGTGGGCCAATCCCCTTGCCCTCCAGGAGCTGGTCCAGAGGAACTGTAGGAGAAGAGCCGAGTGAGCCGGGGGGCTGGTTTCTAGAGAAGTAAAGTCCTTTCTTGTTTCTCCAAACAAAAACCAAATCAGCCAGTGTAGAAGACCCCTCTAAATGTAAACAACTGCTAGCCAGTGGGCACCATCAAGGGAAAATATATGCCCGTGCAGAGATCTCTCTAGTCACAAGGAGTCTAAGAGACAAGGAAGAGTGAAGGACAGTGTGTGCCATTCTTTATGTAAGTCCAGAAAGTGACTTGTTGGTGGAGAGAAGGCTATTGACTGTTGTGGTCATTAATCATGTAGGAAGAAGCATAGTAGGATTAAAGTAAAGGCCAAGGAAGAGTGACAATGATACTGTGGTAGGGTGGGCAGCCATAGAAAGCAACCTGAAATCATTAGGACTCCACAGACTTCACCTCAGACTTCAAAAGAAGAGAGGAAATACGATTAGAGCTTAATAAATCTGTATAGAATATGGATTATAAAATTGTCTACCAGAAGTCAGCAAAACCTCTTGAAAACTGGGAGAAAATGATCTTGGGGTAAAAATAACCTCTGGTGTACCGAGAAAGTAGATCTTGTACTTCAAAAAGTGGTCTTTGGGGGACTTGGCTAACTTCTGGTGTTGAAGTGTAAAAGCCAAGGGTTTGTCTTACTTGGATACTTTCCTTTTGAACACGGGGACCAGAGATCAAGCATCCTCTTAGCCCTTGTGCTTTCTCTTCTCCTTTTAAGGTAAACCTTAAATATCATTCATTCCCCATCCAACTATGACTTATTGAGGGTAGCTTCTTTGCTCTGTCCACTGCCAGGCACTGGGGATATGAGACAACATCGGACACGCGTGGTTCCCACAGTCTGGTGGGGAATGCAAAACCGTAATCGTCTGTATGATGGATTCGCAGACATGCGGGGTGAACTTGGCATCAGTTGCTAACACAGTCTCTGATCAGAGCTGTCTGCTCCCAGGAAAGGGTGGTTAAGTTGCAGCCACTGAAGAAAGTTAAGCATATAGAATTGATTGTGTTTTCATGAACAGTCACAGTAGGTGCTGTGGAGAATAAAGGGCAAGGTTAAATATTCTCAGAAGCAGTGGCAGAGTGATGGTACCTAGGTAGACCACAGCCTTGGCAGAGAAATGCCAATGGACTCTAGAGTAATAGTTCTCAACCTGTGGGTCATGATGCCCACAGGGCATAGCAGACATCCCACAGAACAGACATCCTGCACATCAGGCATTTATATTACAATTCATAACAGTAGCAAAATGATAGTTATGAAGTGGCAATGGAAAGAATTGTATGGTTGGGGTCGCTGTAACATGAACTGTATTAAAGGGCCACAGCCTTAGGAACATTGAGAACTGTTTACTCTAGGGACTATTTCAGAGGTCACATGGACTAGACTTGATCAGATGTTAGAAATGAGGGAGAGGAATAATCAGGCTTGATCATGAGAGAATGGCAGCCAAGTAGCACTCAGATCCTCTGAGAGGAATCACCACAACATCTTATAGTTCTTTTTATCTCTGTGGGCTTAGACAATCAAATTAGGAGTTTTCTTCTCTCTTGTATTTCTAGTCTCTTATGAATTAATGTTCATTTCAAAAGAATATTGGGAACATTGAAGATTCTACAAACTGGTGTGTAGTCAACATCTTAACTGGATTTGAGATGAATTGAAATATCAAACATCCCACGAATGTTAGCCTATAACTACAAACCCTTGTCTTTACTCATGAAGACCAAATAAGTTTATATGGCTCTGAAACTGTATTATAGTTCATAGAACCCTGAGGTCAGTTAACATCAAACCCAAGTTCCCAAAGGCCAAGAGGTCATGGATTCTTTTGTGACTTAAGATCCTTTGACAGTGTCATCAAAACAATATGACTGAGTGCTCAGAGGCACATTGTTCCTGTGTTCCCTGGCATCAGTGCCCAGTCCCAGATAACAGTCCAGAACTTGACCAGAGTCTTAGGGTTCTTCACTCAGTGTCAGTGGTTAGGGCTTTTCCATGTTTGCTTTTTCACACACCCCATCAGATGGAGGTGGAGGGAGTAAGAGACTTAGACTTTTTCTGAGCCAGTTAATTGCAGATTTCAAGACCCTTCACCTGCAAGTACTTCAGCATGTGTTTTCTCAGAACAACGACTTTTTTCTTACATAATGACAGCACGGTTATTTAATTCAGGAAATTTAACCTTATGCAACACTGTTATCTAATGTGCAGTCTATATTCAGTCCTCACTATTGTCCCAATAATGTCATTTATGGCACTTCCTTCCTCCCAGTTCAGGATCTAATCTAAGATGCATTGCAGTTCATATTATGTCTTCTGACTCTTCCTGGGGAGCGGCTCCTTAGTCTCCGACTTTTGAGACAGTGATCGTTTAGAACACAGACTAGGTATTATACAGGATGCTTCTGAGATTGGCTTCCTGTAGCTTCCTCGTGGGTAGGTTCAAAGGATGTACACTAGTGGGATGCTGTTAGAGCCCCATGCCTGTTGCTCCTGCCATATCTAGCATGGTGGCGTCGTAGACAGGACTCATGGTGGTTGTGTAACACTCTCAGGAATATTGATTACTTTGACAAAGTGGTATGGCCCAGGCATCTCCACCTGAAGCCCTTACAGTCCTGCTTAAGTTTGATGGGGGTACTTGACATCTTCCCATTTGTTTAGTTGTTTTAACTTTTACTGAAGTTTGCCTCCTTTTCTTTCTCTTGGCAGTGTTTTCGAGCACTTTGCTGCAAGGGACCACCACCTGCGCGCCCTGAATATGATTTGGTTTGCATAGGTCTCACAGGCTCTGGGAAGACCAGTCTGTTGTCCAAGCTCTGCAGCGAAAGCCCAGAGAACGTTGTGTCAACCACAGGTGGGTGTTGTATTGAGCATCTTTCTCTCTTTCCTCCTCGTCCCCAGGGTAGCCAGTTTCAGCCTATACTGCTTATGTGGCCTCTGCTGCCCATTCAGTCCATAACCTCGTGCTTCAGTAGTGTGCCTATTTCAACTTTAAATCCTCTGTCTTTTTTTCTGGGAAAAATATTAGCATGCGATAGCTATGTTCCGCATCGCCTTTTCTGTTCTTTTCAGTGACAGGGTAAGTCAAGCTCACAAAAATACTTATAAAACCTAGTCCCGGAGTCTGAGAAGTTCTAGCTTTGAGCTTCCCTGAATGCTGTCCCCCTTGCAGTGTTACTCCAGCTGACTTTTGTTGGTCACGTGCTTCCTCCACAGCACTAGTGATGTACACTGAACTTCCTCATCTCACCCTTCGTCATACAACGATCGATCGTTTGAAGACTATTGATCCTTTACCATGTTTTATAATTTGACGTCAGTCAAAATACAGGAGTTATTAGCAGTGCTATTAACTGCTAAGCCCTCTTTCCTGCTCCAAATAGTGTTGCCATTTTCGTTTTTTAAATCAGGAGGTATTGTGCCCCTATGCAGAGGGGCAGTACCTGTCAGTATGAAGACATTTTGGCTATGATAGCTGGGTGAGGATGCTTCTGGCTTATACAATAGTTATAGGCTCGAGATGCCAGTATATGGTCTGTGATTCACAAGGCAGCTCCCACAGGGAGGACTTACCTAACCTAAAATGGCACCATTAGCAAAGTTGAGAATCCTGCTTCCGCTTCTCCCTAGTACTTCCTCTTTACTCTTTTAACATTGAGTCGGAAAAGAAGAGTGTGCGTTCACCACAGTAGTGGCAGAATGGTTGTAGGTGAAGAGAAGGGCCACTGAGGCAGGATTACCCATCAGAAAAAAGCAAGGCAAAGCATTTTCTGGGGAAGATAAAAACATAGCTCTTTCAGCCCAGCCTTTGAACCCTTGCCATTAGATGCTGTTATAAGAGACCCCAGTGGTACGAACATGTAGCCCACTGATCACAAAGACATTTAAGCTCACATCCAGGACTTACTAAAAAAATCCTGGATGATGATGATGATGATGATGATGATGATGCAGTTGAGGTGCCCTTGAAGGACTTAAGTGAGGCACTCACAGGAAAAACAGAGAGCTGAGAATGGCGAGAGCAATGTTTGAGGGAATTGGCAGGACATGGTAATCAGTTGGCTTGGGACGAAGAAGGAAAGAGACGCCAACAGTGACTCAGTTCCTGGCTCAGCTGATGGTGGGTGAGGAAATCATTCACTCGGGTTTCTTAAGTAGGAACAATGTTGGTGACCAGGGACTTCACATCAGTTCAGCTCAGGCTTAGAGAAAGCTAAGTTAGAGGAACATGTAGACCTTTCTAGATCTTAAGAGTCAAAGATTAAAAAGATGATTGGTCTATAAAGAAATGTATGTGTGTCTGTGCGTCGAGTAAAGGAGAGGGTGAGAGCAGGTGTCGTAGCAACTACTGGAAACTGCAGAGGGCGAGAAGAGAGTTGATGCATGGCCCCTCCCTCTGCACAGAGCTCCTGAGCAGCCTCCTTTTCCTATAGGCAGCACTGAATCCTCCTCCTCCTCTACCTGGCTCAATAGTCCTCCCATCAGTGCCTATCAACAGCTTCATTCCCATGTCTGCCTCACCTGCCTGCTCTTCCTAAACTCCTAAGGGCAGACAGCACATCTTACTTGATATTCTCTAAACAGAGGCACAGAATGTGGCCTTAGATGTAGACGTTTATTGAACGGATAAGCAAATGATACTAAGTTTGATCTCCATGGTGTTTTTACCTACCTTTAAGTAAGAATCATTATTTTTTATTCTGCTTTTAAGTCATCTGAGTAACGTACAGTGATCTGTCCATTTTAACATAGCTAGGCATGGAGGTAGGATGCCAAGTATGGTTTTTAGATGAAGTTCAGGGATACTTAAGGCCTCAGATTTCTGATGCAAGCACATGGTTGTCTCAAAAAGTCTTATCTTTTGAATAACGCGCTGTGAAGTTATATAAACACCATTAGCATTATAAACTCCTTTCAGGCAAAGTAGCATCCAAATTAAGTGTAAGAACAACAAAAACTACCATTTCTCTCACCTGTCAGGCTTCATGTGGCAATGTGTGCAGAAGAGCAGTGTTGAATAACAATGGAAAACTTACCTGCAAGTGGTTTCATAGTTTATTAGTAAATTGTAATGTGTTTTAAATTTGTTTCTGTAAAATTTTAAAGTAATTTATGTTTCCATTTTACTGGAACTAATCATAACACTTCTTTTAGCTGATTTTCTGATGAATTAGATAGCAAGTTGGCTAACGTTTTGGATATCAAAATTCTGTGAGTTGCAGCTATCTTGAGCTTGGCACAGGGCCTCTCTGGAGGCCTCTTTAGAGGTCCTTGCCATCAATAAGTTTATACTTGGTTTGGAAGATAACATTTCCAATGGTTCACACTTGATTGCTTAGTACATGCCAGGTCCTATGTAAGATTCTGTGATTTGTGTTGTGCTCTGTGATGTGGGTTGTCCTTGTCGGTATAATCCTGAAAGTTACATGTAGTGTCTAGCCTGAGAGATCGAAAATGGCTTCCTAGTGATCGTTATATGAAAAAGTGCTTCACTAGATGGTTAGGATCCTAAGCCATGACTAATGGGGCAAGGATGTTTGGGATCTAAATAAAATAAATGATTCAGAGAAAAGTCTGTCTTACTGGTCAAGTTCCATGGTACAGCAATGTAGGAGGCATTGGTGTCAGGCCTAGAGAATGGAGACCTGTTGGGAGACATCTGTGAAATGAAGAGATGAGTCAACAGAGACAGGAATTCTCTGGATGGTGAGTTTGGAGCACAAGAAATTAGTACTGTGAAAATGTCAGTCATATTGGCTAATGGAAAAAGAATTTTTTTTTTAAAGATTTATTTATGTAGGTGAATACACCGTCACTCTCTTCAGACACACCAGAAGAGGGCATTGGATCCCATTACAGATGGTTGTGAGCCACCAATGTGGTTGCTGGGAATTGAACTCAGGACCTCTGGAAGAGCAGTCTGTGTTCTTAACCATTGAGCTATCTCTCCAGTTCAAAAAAGAAAATTTAATTATGACTCAAGTTTCTAACTTGGTATTTACAGGAAAGTAGTAAAAAGAAGTAGAGAAACCAGGTCAGGAAGTTGTAAAGGAAAATAAAAATGAGAAGGGTGCTTGGGGCATCCCTCCTTTTTTTTTTTTTTTTTTTTTTTTATAGTGGGTGTGGGTGTGATACCTAGCAGTGTTTCAGATGCTGAAGTAAAAGGTTAGAAAGAATTTAGAATGGCAGGTACAGACTTGAGATACTACTAAAATGTGGGTTTGAATGAGATTGTCTAGAAACAACAGAGAGCAAGGAGGGGCGCTAAGCATCAACTGTACTCCATTCATCCATTACATACTTGCTGAGTGTTTTATTGTGTCTGCCACCGAGTTAGGCTATAGCACAGCATCAGTTAATAAGTCAGACAAACATCCCCACCCTTGAGGGCTTTTATTCCTGCATCTGTGGTTGTTAAGGAATCTTAATCCAAGCAATTCTATATAATATGATGTAAGTCAAGTACAGCCAAGAAATCAAAAAAGCAGTCAAGTCAAAAGTCTAAAAAAGAAAAAAGGGCCCTTGGTTATAGTAGCAATATGATAAATAATGATACTCATAGAACAGTTTCAGGAGATTATTAGGCTAGAAACCACCCAGAGAAATGAGGAAGTAGTATACAAGAAGTGGCAATGAGTTATACAAATTCTAATCATTACTTCTTGCTTCTTCATAAGATTATGTATAAACCATTTTTTTCAGGACACATAAAGAAAAAGGACGTGCTGTGGACATTTGTTTAGATAGGGACAGCGGACACTCTAGTAGATGTGTGGGCACGGTCATCTGAGAGGGAGCGAAAAGTCTGAAGGGGTTCAAGGGAGGAGAGAAAGAACATCTCTACCTCCAGAGTGCTGGGATTAAAGGTGTGTGCCACTGCAGGCAGGCCCCAGTGCCAGACATTGTAAGCTTCAGAGCAAAGAGTAATGTGGAGAACAGTGACGTCTGTTGCATAGTGATGAAGGAATCGCTTTACCTGAGAGAACTGAGTGCTTATGTACCTAACGGTAAGTCTTCAGAGTGCACGAGACAAAAAAAATAGTAGACAAACTCAGAGTTAAAATGAGAAATATCTCTTCCACCAATTGAACATTATAGGCTGGCAGTCATTCTAGAGATGGCAGACTTGAGCAATGCTGTCCACCGACATGAACTGGTTAACTTTTACAGATCATCCTACCCAACCACAGAAGACATCCATTCCTCCCAAGTGCCTTTGAACATGTACTAAATTAAATTATCATCTACTATAATACTTAAAGCAAATATCAGTTGGTTTATATGGACTCCTAAACTAAATATATTTTCAAATTTTAACAGGCATATCCAATCAAGCCTTTAAACATTGACACCTGCAAAATTTTTGCCAATGGAGTTGGTTGAGGATGTCCTCCCATGCACATCCCATATCACACACACACAAATCTTACAGTGTTTTGAGTAAGTTTGGGCTGTATGTGCTCCCCAGACTATGGGTTGGACAGGCCCATCATTTTCTTGTGATTGAACTAGAGATCATTAACCAGAACATTCTTAGGATGGTTTCCAAATATATTTGAAAACTAAATTGTTTCTAGAGAAACAATTAATTGAGAACTCACAAGAGAAAAATCTAACCCACTTGTACCAAATGACAAGTTTTCAGAATTTGTGATATATCTCTTAAAAGCGGCACTTCAGGGGAAGTATGTAGGACTGAGCACTGGGCTTTGGGCTGGAGAGATGGCTCAGTGGTTAAGAGCACTTGCTATTGTAGAGAATCTGGGTTCACTTCCCAGCATCCACATGACGCCTCACAACCATCCATAGCTCCAGTTCCAGGAGAGCTAACACCTTCTTCTAGCCCCAGGGCAC